GATGCTTGCAACTAAGTAGATTAACCACGTACCGTTGTTTGCTTGTTGTGCTTGTACCCGCTGGTGTACTCTCATCGCTATCTTGCGCTGTACTCATTTCGAGCACTGGACGCACCTCGGCCGCTGGTCGCGCTGCAGTTTAAACAAACGTTAAATAAGTGTTCACACCAATTTTTCAAAGCACAACGTTTTTTCAAATTAGTCGCTGAAAAAATGGGTCCATTCAAATTCTGACTCAATCAGTCCTGTATTCGACAGGTTAAATCGTGAAGATACTACTTCAAAGTACATTCAGTGTTAGAGATGATTTTAATGTTTAACGAGTTCACTACCGGAACACCAATCCGGAAGAAGTGCAGGCTATTTTTCGATCTCTGTATGTTGATTTCTCCGAAAGAATTGCATTTACCATATAAATGACAACAATAAGATGTTATGAATGACGGTTTATTACTGAACAGGAAATTGCTGTATGATGTGTGTTTCGAAATAACACGAAAAGCGAGCCTGGTTTGCAGTGCTGATCTTAACACTTGTTGTGATGAAATTATTAGAAATTAAACCTGGGCGTTGAGGAATACACCATTCTGGTCGCATAGCCGGAAGATAGTGTGGTATATGATCAGGGCGCTCTGCTAATTCCTTTGCTGATATTGGTCCACGGATACTTTCCAGATATGAGACTGTAGTCGGCTTCTTGACGGGAAAAAGCGGCACCTTTGAAAAACAACAATAACTTCGGACAGGCGACTTAAATGAAGGCACACTGATATTACTGTATGGCTCAATCATCATTATTTACGAATATTAGCAATGAAATTTAAGCTCGTAATAATTTATATCAAGAATATCAACCTCCCATATTACTGATGCTCTAAACGCCACGTACAGCTATGTCAAGTCCTGTTCCAGTAAGTGTTCACAGTCTGTTAAAGTGCACCACGGCAACCGTCAAAGTAGTCACTGCTTTTTTGTGGATGACATTCACCAATGGCTGGGAGCCATCAGTTGTCCTCTAGGCGACCAGCATGCTTCAACCATCGAATTTAATTTGTTCACTTAGTTGTAATAACATCCTGCATGCCATTCATCTGATGAGTGTGTTTGTTTATGCGGCTACGAAGAAACACCCCAAATATCCTTCGCCGAATCGCACTTTTCGTCATAATCGGTTCCCACTTTTATGCGTTTGTTGCATCCGCTCAATGCAAGAACCCATATTGTCGAGGGTTGTTCGTGCATGTGTTGTTTGTCTCTATGTCTGTGTGTCAGTGCGTCTGTACCGAGTTTTCGTCTCGAGACATGCAAAATTTACAAGGTTGAAACTTTGGCGACTTAATCTACACCTATATACGGGCTCCTGTCCTCAAAGTGCTAACGTCCATATAGGAACGTGAAAGGCTTTTGGCGGGAAAACAATTTTGGGGACCATGCAGACTAGAATGCCGGAACTTCACGAAGATGTTCCTTGCTCACGTCCAACCTAAATATTTCAAATTTGGCCTTCAAGCACCCCCAGTTCTTGCTTGCGTACATGTCAAAATTTGAACTGGCATCGTGCCAAGTCGAGAATAAGCTGACGGCGGTGTTATAGAAAGCTGAAATCTTGCAGCGTTGCTTGTCATGCGTTGATGCGCTTGTGAAAGTAAATTGAGCTTTCCAAGCCTCCTGCATCACACCTACTGGACGCGTGAAATTTGATGTGGACAGTCTTGTAATTTCAGAGCTAAAGCAGCCAGAGAGCTGAAACTTTCTAATCATGGCCGACGGCAACGTTTGGCTGTGTGGATTTGAAAATAACTCTCACGTTTCTTTCGTGTCGCACGTACGTCACACGTGCGAACGCGTGAAATTCAATGTGACTCCGCAACCGAAGTAAATAGAGCACTGAAATTTTTTAGTCGTGGACCGTGCCCGAGTAGGTACACCTGAAACAACATTCACTTTTCCCCTCACACATGTATTTAGGTAACCCTGGGACCAAAACGGCCAGAGGGTCAAATTTCGTGAATATCGTCCATGACCGTGTTCGGGCGGACGCACGTAAAAAATTTCCACGTTCCCCTCACGTGCGAATACGTGGGACTTGAAATAATCCTACAACCTGAGCAGCTATATTTCCGAAATTTTTAGCGATTAGTCCGCGAGAGTGTTTGGGCAGGTGCATGCAAAAAAAA